ACCTGGGGTCTTCACACTGAACTACATTCCCAGTTCTGCCTCCCACTCTCCTTTTCTGAGACAAGGTAACTATAAATCGCTGAATTGCCTGGATTGGGCTTAAATTTGCAATTCTCCTGTTTCAGTCTTCCAGATTGCTGGGATTATAGTCATATACCATCCCTTCTAATTCATTATATACATCTTAAAAGATGGAAATACTTTTGCATCATTGGCTGTTAATGGCTCTGCTATGTTTTAGATTCATAACACTGGGATAATCTCATTCTGATAGTATCCCTTAGAGGCACTAAAAGGCATTGGGAAAGAGATAAGAAAAATTTTATATTTTAAAAAAGACAGTAATAATCACTTTGAAGAATAGAAAACATTTTCTGGTAGTCAGCACAAAGGGTAAATATTCTTGCACAGTAAAAGCATAAAAAAGATAACTATCCATTCTAATAATGACCCTGAATTCACTAAATTGCTAAAATACACTTTTTTTAAACTTATTTCTAAATTAAATTTTTTCACATTCACAAAAAGTGGCTGTATTTGAATTCATTTTCAGGCATTTGAGTCTATCCTGCAACAAGGTGCTATATTTTATAGCCTTATAAAAAGAAATCAAGTGTACTATGATATATTTTGTAAACTTACTTTGAAGCAAAGTCCCAAACAGATTCTCAAAAATGGTTTTAAAACAGTTCCCAAGGTGACTATTTTGAATGACCACTTGGGATCTTAAAGGGAGTCAAGATGACAGAGCTGCTAAATTAAATTTTCTAATTAAATTTGTTTCATAAGTTTTTTTTTTTTTCCATTTTTCACTGTTTCATGAGCAAACGAATGTTCTACAGACAAGTACTGGTGCATGAACCATTGCTTGTGAATCATTTGTCTAGGCAAGAGACAACTGTATCTGCAATGTCAACTGGGAGCAAAAATGAAGACTTGGTGAAAATGAAAAACAACGGGCAGATACTCCAGAGTTTGATAATAGTCGACTTCATCATTTGTTATATTGAATTATGTCTCAGGTTGAGTTTAGTGATCTTATCTCTAAAACTCAGTGACATTTTAAATTTAAATTCTCGTTTTAAAGTGTGCTTAAAGTTACAGGTAAATTGGAGATGACATCCTTTCTCTCAAACTGTATTAAATTAGTCACCTGGGCTCTGAAATGGCACAACTTGCCCAGTTGTCCAGCGATTCTTTCCAAAACTTCAGCCATGGCTCTTTGCGTTCCTTGCTATAAAAGTTCATATTTAGTATTTGAGACCAAATTGGAAGCAGATATTACAATTTTTATTTTCTTTATTTTCTTAGTCTTTTCCTCTTAAAGCTCATCTATATCACCTTATACTTTGTAATATATGAATAAATTTCTCCATGCAAATTGCATTAATCAGCTTTCCCATGGCTGAGACATAATACCTGATGCCTACAACTTAAAGGAAGAAAAGCTTAATGTGGTACACAGTTTCAGTGATTCTATCTGTGCTTTATGACTCCATGGCAGAAACATCATGGTGAAAGGGGATGGGAGGAGTGGCAAAGATGCTTAATCCATGATGAGTGAGAAGAAGAGCAAAGGCACAGTATCAGAGAGGATAGAGGAAAGGACTGGATACAGTACTTAAGATCATACCTCCATGACCCAGCCATATACATCTAGAAGCACACTTCTCCACTATCCCACATGGCTCCCAAGTCAATCTAGTTGGCACAATTAAACTTAATCACATAAATCAACTCATGCAAATAGAGACCCAAGCTCATTCATTCTTAGTTCAGACACTTCGTATTACATTTAATATAACAAAGGATATAGATGTTTAGAATTTATTCACAGGAATGCATTCATATTTGAAAGTCAAGAATGTAGTGAGATGACATGTAGAATAATGCAAAATATTGAAATCAACTACATATTTGAGTAAGAATGAGATTCAGATATCCATGATGTAAGAGCATTGTACTGCAGCCAAATTCTGATGAATGTACATTCAGTAACTTTCTCTATTAACACTTACCTAATCACATTAAGGGCAGTACATATGTAAAATCCTGAGATTGTAATTAAAGACATAATATTGTAAGTTTAGCTTTTGAAAGGAGATGTAATTACAATTTTGGTTTACTAACTCTTCATTACAATAAATTTGAGGGTTCCTGAGACTGAGGTCACCTGAGTCACTAATGTTGTTGCACAGAATTCACATAAAATCCACAGATCCTTTCCCCTTTGTTTATAATTTAGAACAGAACATGTGATTTTACTTGACCCCCTCAAGCCTTCTACACTGAAAAAAAAAGTTTATTAATCATAGATTGAACATCAAAGAGTATTTTAAAATACAAGTCATTTCCGTTTTTGAAATGAGAACATCAGACAAATTACTTACTAAAACAAGGAAATTAGTAACTTCTAAAAAAGCTTAATTGTGTCTTAAAGGAAAGATTCATACCAGGCTTTTCATATAGGGACTTAAGGAAATAGGGGTAGAAAGCTTTGTTCCCTTCAGTGGCTGACAGATTCCATTGTCAAATTAGGTAGGAACATCTTCTTATAATTTTCCAACTAATAATTGAATATTATCACAGATCTACATAATTCCTACTATCAGTCTTTAATCTGTAACATTTCATGCTTCTCTTCATATATGTATCTGTAGTCATAACCTTCAAATGAAAAGCATAAAGCCAGATTAAAATTTGATAAAATACTTTTATAGAATTTCTGTATTTTGAACACTGATATCTTACAGGAATTGTTTCTTCGTAATGGAAAATGTTCTACGCTTGAAGGTCAAATGTGACAACTCTAACTTTTTAGTGGCATTGCAATTAGGTCATTATTTTTTCCTTTTCCTCATTATTATTCCAAGGCAAGGACTCCTCTTGTAGCACCTTGCACCTATCAGATCTTTTGAGATTGTCAGCCCCTTTTCACTTAGTCCCTGGTCCTATGTGGAGAGAGTAGTGATGGGACACTTTGCAGTGGAATCCCTTTCTCTGCAGTAAAGTTCATTCCACAGGAATCTGCCAGAATTAGTGTTTTATTAGGAGGATGTTTGCAGATACAAATCATTTGGTTAGCACAGCTGTGTCCATGAAATCAAATGAAGCAAGACTATCACATAGTTAATACAATTGTGGTTATTGAAGGATTATAGAACTCTTTTAAATAGACATAGACTTAAGCTTGAAATAGTTTATTTTTCCTAGGACTAAAATAGTACATAATTTGAAAATACAAAATATAATGTGATACAAATGGCTAGCCAACCACCAAAATCCTTACTTCTGAATGAGTTTTAATTGAAATTATGAAATTATTTTGTCTACCCATCTAATTTATATATTTGTAAATATGCAAATAAATGAGAGGCTGGAGCAGATGGAACCAGATAACTTGGGTTTTGGTTCATAATTGTCCAGAGGTTTCTGGTGATGGCTGCATGTTACCCAGATCATCTGGTCTTGAGCAACGTGTTGTAACTGAAACATACTTTGTCATCTTACTGGTAGAGGGATACAGAGGCATGCTAATTGTAGATAAAATTATGTAAATCAATAGTTCACAGAGAGAAATGTAATTGTGGCATAACAACTTTCACTTCTTCCTGAGCACAATATCCTGTGTGACTTTGCAGTCTTGGCCTCATCAATCACATGTCAAAGTAGCTACTGCCTTATCTATTTGGTAATAGTGCCAAAGCAAGACAATATATTAGTAACCAACCCAAAAACAATTTAATCTCTGTGTGCTTAAATTATTTTATTTTTAAAATAAACTTTTTATAGAATCATTAATAATTCAGAAAATGTACATAAATGTTTTCTATACTATTTCTGATTTAGAACTATTATAAAATGTTTCTCCTATTTCTTTTGCCTGATCAGTGTCAATTCTCCTATTTCCAGGGATGTAGTTGTCAGTGGCGTCATGGCTTCTGAACAGTAGGTATAAATAAGATGACAAGGTCAAAAAGATAATAACTGTATTTGGGAATTAGGATGATTTTCTTGGGAAATTCTAGAAATGTGTAAAATGGATACGAACAACTGAGACCAAGCAGTGACAGAAGACAGAATTGCAATGGTTTGTATATACTTAGCATCTCTGAAACTCATGGTGGAGTTTAATTCATGCTGTGAAGTTTAATGAGTGGAAACTTAATCTGACTATAGTGGTTAGAGGTGGGAATCTCTGGGTGATGACTGAGATTAGATAAGGAGTAGACTGGGATTAGATAGAGTAGACTGAATGCTGGTGGTTTATAAAAAGTGTAAGAAGATGGAGCGAGATCAGAGGATACATGCAAACCTAGGTTTCTTTTCTCACCATGGGATTCCCTGCACTGCTTCAGGATTCTGCTAGCAGGAAATCTATCTATCACCAGTTGTGACCCCCTAGACATTGGACATTCAGAACCATAGCCAAAGTAAATCTCCTTTTAAACTTCCCTAGTCTATGGTATTATGGTATTAGAAACAGAAAATAAAATTCAAATAAAATAACAAAGATGATTTGATTTTATTTGCTTATATTGCTGGAGTACAGGAATATCAGATTAAGATAGTTTTATTGTAGGTGCATGCTGCATTTAATCTGAATATTGTGTGAGGCCTTCGGCTGGCATTTCTCTATGATAGCACCATGACCCATTTTCTAAATATGCCTTTCAGGAAGCAACTATCTGGTAATAAAACAAAGAAATATGCTTTTTCTGTGTTACATGTAGAGCATATGAAACTAAGAAATTTTGACCTGTGCTCCTTGGATATGTAAGAGAATTACAAGGATATTTTGTAAAATAATTTTATATAAAAATAAGTGAAATGTAGCCCTGCCTAATATATACAATATATTAGCAGCATTTGTGGCATCTAGGTAATGTGTTATAAGTACTCCACTCAGTTATTTGCCTTCTCATTCTTTCATCTGTTGTTCATTCATATTCTTAGTGGTCATTTACTTTGTGAAATATGTTAAAAACGAATCTCCAGACTTCTTGAGTATAATTTATTGATTTAAATGTTTCATAAGTGACAATTTGAATTTTTAAGGTAAATAAACATATGACTTAGACAATTCTGCAACAAATTGTATAAATATAACACACAGTTGTTGTTTCCACTCTGAGAAGAATCTCAGATTTCCATTACTCATTTTCATATACAGGTTCACCTTGCTCTGTAATCTGTAAATACAAAGACTAATGCATCATGAAACATGCTATTTACAATGTGCACAATTTGGAATAATTACAAATAAAATAAGCAAATGAGTAAAATGGAATTACATGAAAAGCAAAACAGATACAGTGAATATTTATAATCCTATAAGTACCTATGTACTTTTTACACATATAGTTTATTCATAAAATTCTAGTGAAATGAGGCATATTTTATCATTTTAATTAGAAAATGTTTCTCTAAAGCTGTATTAATGGACAAAAGTTATCATTTTAAAATATAATGTGAAACAGCAAATGAAACTTTTAAAAATTAATGACACAGGTTTAACAGATGCATCCATTAAAAAAATTGATTGACATTCCAAAATATATGCAATTTAAACATGCCCTACTTATATATATTAGTATGTTTTCCTGGCATTATTTGCTGATATTGTAATTTAAATTTGTGAGAACCAGATTTTTAAAAGAAATGATTCACAAAGTATAATTTAGCAGCAAAATAGCAGATGTATGCATTATTTACATAGCAAGCCAAGCCAAAAATTTAGACCCATAAAATTGTACCAAATTAGCTGAAATTTTAAAGTAATTCAGATATCTGGTTAGATAGAACCATCCCATGCAGTGAAAGCAAATGAAGGCCTAACATATTATAAATATGTATTTTTATTAAGTGAGGAAGCCTATTTATTATTTTAGTTTGCCTGAATGAAAATGCACTGGCTGTTTATTTTATGCACTGAAATGAGCAGGCTACATTTAATTTGTGAAGTACTGTTTGGGAAGAAATCTTTTGTTTTTACAAAATGGCTGCTCACAGTTGAAGAGTCAGGATTCAGATAAATAGATGTTGAGATGAAGAATAATATGTTATTATTTCTGGAATGCATTTAATTGATGTATTTTAAAAGCATAATGAGACTGTTTTGCCACTTAATTACCAAAGCTGTAATGTAGTTAAGGGAAGCTTTTATAAAACTTTAGACATTTTCAAAAGCAAAACTCTTAGGAAGATATTTTTTCTAAATAAAAGACCAATTTTTAAGAACAGAATCAGAAAGTCTCCTCACTGACCACTTTTCTATTGAACCTAACCTGATATCCCTGGTACTTTAGGTATAGTCATAACTATGTCATGATATTATGACTAATTTCCACATAGCTGAGTGATTTTTGCTCTCAATTCTTCAAAGAGACAATGAATTAGTAGTCTGTAAAGTTTTTATATGTGGGTCTTAGATGTCAATTCAGTAGGAAACAACAGAGTGGAAGAACAAGCAGGACTTTGGGTACCAGCTGTCAAATTTTCTAATTGCCATAAAGTACTTGACACATTTAGGAGAATTTCATGTTGATAAATCAATTAACAGTTTCTTTCTCTTAAAGGAGTTTTAACTTAAAATATTGAGAAAAAGGTCCATCAATTATATCATCCGAGTCTCAGAAAGAAATAGCATTCCTTTGTTATCTTTGAAAGTTATTGATACTGAGAAGAGGTACTTCTTGGGAAACAATAAAAGCAGAATTCATCTAGGTATTGAGGTTTCATTTAACAGGGAAATACAGGTTCTTATTAGAGGTGACATAGACATAGTTATATTTTTAATAAAATTATTGTAATATAACATGGCTTTCATTTAGAATTTTATCCTAAGAAATTTAAAGATCTTCACTCAATTCCCTAATGTGAATAACTTGAATACACTCTTGCTATCCTTATCCCTTACATTTTTAAAAATGACAATATTTTCAGCAAAAGTCAAACTTTCAAACAAAAATCAATGTTACAATCTGTAAGTTTGACTTACTTATGATGCCTTCTGCAATGTTTCTAAAACAAATGAAAAATAAAATTCATTGAAATACAATTCCTAATTAGGTGTTATCATCAGAGGATAAAACTTGAAGGAATTCAGAACAAAATTAATTTCTTTCTTATTACTGAAGAAATTGATACAAACTCAAACATCTCTAATATTCTGAATTATGGATATGAGTAAGTTGATTCAATGCAATAAAATATTTTTCTTGAATTATTTTTTAACATACAATTCTGATAAAAAGTGTTCAGATTTGCTATCATCTTTTAAAATTTCTGTCCTAAACAATGTATGGATGAGCAGTTACAAGTCTAGAGAGAAATCTTTGACTAAGACACTCTCTAACAATTTTTAATTTTAAGAGATTGACAGTATACCTTCACATCTCTAACAGGGTACCGCCAAACAATATGGAATGATTCTCTCTCCATTTCAAGTGCTCTGGAGTACTCCCAAAGAGAAGTACAGTCCTGGGGTTACCTAGGACTTTTCCTACTCCAAAGCCAAATACTTACTTATTTTGCTAGCAGGCAAAACCCAATTTAAGAAGAGTTCAAAGAAGAATATAGGATATAGTGTAGGCACCTAAATGATTTTACATGCTTTAAAACAAAAAGCAAATATTTTATAGTCTCTGTTATTAAATTTTCCAATCAGGAAACAATGTAATTTCTATAATTTCAGAGAGAAAGCAGAATGCGTAAAATAAAACACTCTTCCTAAAGAATGCTAACTCAGCCAAGCATGTTATAGGAAAGAAAATGTTTTCTTTTAGTATCACTTGCACACTGACTTCTGTGCTAATTTTAGTAGGCTTCTCTGTGACATATGGCAAAGCTGGTGTTTAGCTTTCTTTATTCATTGAATCCAGATGTCCTGACACTTTCATTTACCTTTATCATTGTAACCAAAGCTAGTTCTACCTGCCAACTTCAGAAAGTTCTATTTATAGTTCTGTGGGCTTCTAATCCCAGTTTCACTGAGCTATGCAGCAGCTGAGAGACTGGGATTGCCTCATAAAATGACTAACAAAGGCTGGTTGAGGTGTTTTGTTTCTGCTTTATTTATTTATTTATTTTGCAACAACCGTGACCACCAATCAAATGAGTCATTTTGCTTTCATTAACCAGAGGCATGTATTGTGAAAACCGCCTCTTTACTGATTCTCTATACCTTCCTGAAGAAAAATGTCAAATCTTTCTTCTTGGGCTCGTTTAAAGAAACTGTCTAATTCATCCCTTAATATGCCCTTTACTGCTGAATTTGATGTATGACTGACCAGCAGCAATATGCAGGGAACCGTCTTTAGAAAGAGAAATTATGCAAAAAAGCAATTTTGCACATCCCTGATTTACTCCAGATATTTTGATTTGGCTCTCTCTCTGTCTCTCTCTGTCTCTCTGTCTCTGTCTCTGTCTCTGTCTCTCTTTCTCTTTCTGTCTCTCTCTACTTATCCATCTTTTCCTCTCACCCACTTTTTCTCCCTCTTTCCTTCCCTTTTCCCTCATCCCTTCTTCTTCTCTTCCCCCTCTCTGTTTTCCTCCCTCCCTCCCTCTCTCACATTCTCATTGGCTTTCAAATAATAAGCAAGAATACTGTACTTTAATATTAACAATGATCTGATTTGAAATGAGATGGATCAACTGAGAAGATAAATTTATTGGATTCAAATTAAATCCTTTTTATTTACTCAAATGTATACTTATTAAGGATGTAAAAACCACTGAAACACAAAAGTATAATGTCAAAACTTTTTCATTCTGTTTCATTTTGATTTTCCAATTGTGGATAGGAAGATATTAAGTTTTACTACCAATAATAGGAAAGTAAAGGTCAAAAAAAAGCAAACCTGCCCATCATTCTAGTAGTATTTATGATTAGAGCAGAGCTTAACTAGCTAGGAATTGTATTTAGATACTTGGAAAACAATAGGAATTGAATTTAGATACTTGGAAATGTATCTAAATTTATATGATAAATAATGATTTGATGTTTATATATTGCTCATTGTAACAAAAATTTGCCAGCTGCTTTTAAGTATAATACTAATACATTACTCTAAACAATGGATGAGTAACAATAGACTGTATTGTTAAGTAACAATAGACTGATATTATTGATAATGCTACATTTCATTAAAAATACTTTAAGAACTCTAAAAACATGAGTTATTCAATTTGACATTTTTAAGATTTAGTGATTCATCATTTGCAAACATTTTAAAACTATACTATAGATAAATTTTAGTCAATCATATTTGTAATAAAAACATTATACTTACTAAACATCTATGTACCTGTCACAGAGAATAATCACACTGAGCTCTTTTTATCTTTGAAGTTTTTAACAAACCAGCATTTTAACTAATGTGTACTTAAAAGTATATTTTTGTACCATCTAATTTTTCAATCAGCTCTTGCTATACTTCATTTTCACTCATCCATCATCCTTAACTTGGTCCTTACTATCTATCATACACAAAAATCTGAAGATTTGTGCAGCACAACAAATAACACAAAAACCTTTTTAAAAGAAGCAGAAAACATTATGCAAGGTATTTTTAAATTATACACCAGAAATAATCTGATATATTAATTTCTTTATAGCATGTTTGCAAACAAATGACTTCTGAGATAGATTGAGCACGTTATTTACTCAAATATTTTCTTTCCATCATCATTGATGCTCATTTTGCTACAAAATGGTGAATATCATTAAAAAGTTCATACCAGCTACATTATTGCTTATATAAACCATGTCTTTATTTTCTCAAAGGTTCTATATAATGCAGAGAAGTGCACATTTTGTATGGCATCATCATCATGGCTTAAATTATTGCTTGGAATGTTGTTATAAGGTATTGCTAGGAAGTCACTCTTAGATGAATGCACAATTCTATGTGAAAAATATTGTTAGTGCTTTATCATAATATAAAGTGTAAAGCATTCAGAAGTAAGGCTGTCACTCCCAAATTTGTTTCTGTGTTCTAAAATTTATAACATATGCTGCAGTGGTGGGGATCAGCAAATAGGACATACTACATGGCTGCAGCAGTTACTAAAGAAAATGGTACGACAGCTAGCATGCCTAATGGCCATATTGTGAGCAAGATTCATTCCTCATGCTTATCAGTATTGACTTCTGACTCTAATAAGTTTGAAAACTCATACTAATAAAGCAGACTACACTTTAAAACTAAAGTTAAAATTTGTGGGAAAGACAATGGCTTGAAGCTCAGAGAATGTTTAACTTTAAAAATAACTACACTCGAGTTGATGTGTTATTATTTCCGTAAACTTGTCTTGACTTCTAGTAGTTGAGTTTTTTTTTTTGTACACTCTCCAAAGATCTACAAGTCTGGCTATATGACAGCATTACTTAGAGTGGTTTTTTAAGTGCAGATTCCAAGGTCCTACCTGAGACCTACTGAATCTAGATCTTTGAAAGTAAAGTCCAGTAATCTGTATTCCCAGAACTGCCTAGGTAATTCTTATGAAGGCTTCCAGATATTTCCAAGAAGATCGGTTGAATCATTGAATTAGGTGATTTCTTATTAGGTACGGAATGACAATAAGGTGTTTACTGGAGCCATGATCTGGTCACAACATTTTAGAAATAAAATCTACATTCCCAAATCTTCCCCAAAATTTTAGTCATGAAACATCTATATTTTAATAAAAACTTATGAACTAAGAATATGCATATGTGCAGAATAAAGTCAGCTGCAATTCCACCTGTATTATAAACATACTAATGACTTTTTTAAATGAAAAGAAAGACAGAACAAAGGTAGGAGACAGACAGATGGCAGGACAATAATACTTAAGCTGCAATTGTTTGAATCAAGTGTGAGGAAGGAATGTTGCACACTACCTCAATATTCTCTGAAAAGATTATAATAATCTTTATATAAAATCAATGTCTGCTATTCATTCACCACTGAGAGAATCCCAAAATTGAGTTCATGGTTAGGATTAATTTACCCATTTAACAGTAGGTCTTATTCCACCATGTTAACCCAATTCACACGCATATTATATTGACTATGAATTAGGTATAGGTAGTCATAGGAAGAGATGCCCATAAAGCCATTCAGAATGCATATTTTAAGTTTCAGTAATTCACTGTCATTAGCATCTGGATGTCTGTATTATCTCCAGCAAGTTATACTTTTAGAAGCCTCTGAAAAAACATGATCTTTGTAGTTGGAGTTCTATAATCTAATAATAGTATTCAATAAGTTAAAATATAGGGCTTGGTTCTTGAATTTCTAGGTTTTTATTGAGTAAAATCATCTCGTGCCATCCAAAGAATATTCAGATTCTGTATAATTAATTCCAAAGGAAAATTCGGAGGAGTTGCACAAAGAGCTTTCATTTAGACTATATTTTGAAGAAAGAACACAGGAAGAAACTGCAGATATAAGCAATACCCAAACACCTCAGACAAAAGTGAGTACTCTAATGGAGGCCTGAAACTGTGTTGGGTCACCTGCTTGATTCAGGCATCAGTAACTCTTTCTGCAGTCACCTACAGTTCAAAAGTAGAGAATAAAGTTTGCTATGCCTATCTTAATGCAGTGAGACTGTTTTGAGTGACAGCATGGAGTAAGAGGGTCCAGGCTGGATAACTCTCACTCAGAATGCCTGGCAAGGTGGGACCCATGTACAAAGCTTTGCCTTTCTGTGCTAGTCATCCATAGCACCTGCCTTCAACAGGTCAGAAACCAAAGGAGTCTTCAACAAATATAGCTAATGATGCTCATAATCTGAGCTCCCTGTTGCTAAGATGAAACTTCAGTCACACAATTTCAATCAGTAGAAATAAAATTCTGTACAAAACACAATATGGTGGATTTCAAAATTCTTCATGGCTTTGCCTTTTATATCTTATCAGTTTGCTTTTGTTTTACTGGTGAAACTTTTTGAAGAAATTTCCAAATATAAATCATTGTCATAGAACAAGAGGAAGAAGTGTGGGACTATGAGAGATAACACTTAGGGCTAGTTCCACCAGTCCATTCTCAAATCTCAGGCATTAGTATCTAACTCAGAGTCACAACATCTTACAGTTCACTACAAATTAAAAGACAAACTCAAAATACTTCAAAATAAAACAGAAAAGATGAATATAGAGGTAAACACTTATGTAAGGGTAAGTTAGAAGCTTTATCTTCTTCACTTTTACATTATACAACTAAGAAATCCAATTAATGTGTTGCTTAGGTATACTATTATTTTTAACCATAGTCACTATTATCTGTTTGTTACATTTCACAAAGCAGATATGGAATAATAAGTTTTAAGTAAATATTTGAGGATTCTGATTTTGTTAGATTATCAATTTATTTGCAGACGATAGCATTCAATCCAGTAAAATAATCATGACACCAAAGTGAAGGTTTAGTACTAATGGCTAGTTATAAGGATATTTCTCTAAATTATCTCCTTTAAAGAGTAAGAGGACAGTTATAGGTACCAGAATAAAAATGAAAGTACTCCTTTTAGGGAAAGGTATATTAATTAATATCATTTAGTTTCTAAGGGGATATTATTAAATTCCCTTTAATCTAATTTAAAGGCATGATATTCCTAACAGTTTATAAGTAAATGAAAATACTGTACATGTAATAGTCTAACAAAATACAGATGCTGGCACATTTTACAGTCACAGTTTCTAAGCTAAGACATATGCACTGTATTGTATAGGGCAAATGAAAATATAACGCTTTTTTCACAGCATTTCATTTCTGACTGCAGCTAGAATAACAGACATTTTATACAGTATCTTGTAAACATAAGTAGTGACAGTATAACTCTAATAATCATCTTTAATAGGTTGATAAAATGATTAAAAGTTTAGCCCATTGCCTCAAAATAACCTCAAAAATATATAGATTATATATAGAGAGAGTATGAAAAATGTATTTTTCATCCTGTGATATATAATAGATCTCTGGAATGTGACATTTGTGACAGTGTAAATGGCTACTTCTCTATATGAAATCATATAAACCATTATAGTGTGAGATTCTTCTGAGAAGTTCAGAGTATACACAGAAATTCTTCTCTGGAGCCCTACTAACAATTATCAAATAATGGAGTGGATTTCCAATGTTTGTTTTAAAATATAGACAGTCCCCATAGATATTTTTAAGTACAGAGATAACAACCATATGTTTAGAATAGTTGCTTAAGCGATTTTTTACAAAAAGCAGAGAAATAGATTGGGCAAAATTCCATTTCAGCCATATGGTAACAAAACACATTATCACCAGAATATTTTTTAATTTTTAAATTAAATATACCAAAATAAGCTCTAAGTCACTGAATGGAATAAGCATACATGATTGGAATGATATTGGGTCTGTCCTCACACTACTACGCTCTGAGGAGCCCTTCAGAACTTCTCAGGCAATTTTCTAGCATTTCCATGAGGACTGAGGTGCTTCCACCCCCTAACAGTATTGGTGGTAACACCCACCACCACCCCTGCCCCGTGCCCTGTAAAGGACAAGTTCACTGCAGATATTTCTTATAATCACCATCATGAAAATACCCTGTCTTTAGCCTACACAGACTTCTGTAGATAACCTGGCCCTTGCTTTCCATAAAGGTAAAATCAGAGACCTGGACTCAGCAAAGAGTGGGTCAGGCAAGGTTAGAAGCTCAGTATCTGTGTCTTGTATTCTCCATAGGAAGACTGCTGCAGTAATGGTTTCTTAGACCACAGGATGAGAAAAAGAGCTCAAATTATAAAAAATATTACAACTATACCAAATAGTTTGCAAATCTATAAATGTTTTCTAGCCACACATTTAGCTTAAAAACATTAATTATGCCTCACAGACTGCACTGGAAATTAGTTAATATATACCTTAGTTGAGTTATATCATAACCAGATCATAATGCAACCAAAATCCCTGAAAAAAAATATTGGATTTAGTAGAAACAAACTACTAATGAGTATACCTACTGGAATAGAAAGTGTCTACTCCGAAGACTTTAAAGTAACAACACTTCCAGCTCATTAACCTTAATAGAAATTTAGGTTTAGATCTGATCCAAAACAGGAAAACTCTGGACATACTGTTGTCATAATTTTACCATGAGCCTGTAACAATATTTCTCATGCAATGTTGATTAACGGGGGGAATAGGATTTCATTATAGCAGAACATAGGATGGAAACTTATCTGTATCTACAGTGATTACTAGTTTAGAAAGTTAGAACTTCTTCCATGTTCGTGAAGATGATTCACTGAATTTAAAAGCCACATCAAACAAACTAGAGAAGAACACGTAAAAGAAAATCTCAATGCTATAAAGCACAGGATATTCCTTGCTTTGTATTATGCAATAAGAAAGAATATTCTTAGAAAAATGTCTGAATCTTTTTTGTGTCAGTAATGCCAGTATCTTGGGAATTTGCTTCCTGGAATGGCAGTCAGCTCTTATGACGCATCAATTTGGGAAGGCAAGGGGAATTACTAACATGTTACTTAGAAGGATGCTGTTCATTAGAATGCAGTTGAATGTTAAACTACATATATTTATAACTGCTAAATTGAAAAGGGTCCAAGGTAACAAAGCATTTTGGCATGATGGCAAAAAACAGAACTTTCATTAATCTTAGTTACAAATGTATCTGCTATGAGGAAATTCTATTACCTCTGGACTCCATACTGCATTAATTAAATCTAAAAGATATATTTACTAACAGAAGTACAACACTTTCTCAGCATCTGAAATCCTTGATTATATGTATTCCCAGTCCAGGCACTAATCTCTCTAAAGAAGCAAAATTATATTAGATTACTAGGTTAGCATTACGTAATATACCAACAATGTGTAGCAGATTCTGGAAATCTAATAATGTTGTGTGAAATGTTATTATCTAGAAGAAGAGATATGTATAAAAATAGGTAATATTCCTTAAATATTTTGCTGAGTTACAATTCTTCCTGCTGGGAAGTTTACCACATTGCCATGATATATGTATGAAATGCCTGTTCAGAAAAAGCAAATTAGAAAATATTCCTCATCAACTCACTAAATGTAGGAATATATACTCAAAACTGGCTTTCAAAAGTGATACAAATATACAGGGAAAGATAACTGTGTAGGTGAAAAACAAGACAATAGGAGTCTATTGGTTTTCTTTTAAAAGGAATCATATATATATATATATATATATATATATATATATATCCAAAATACTTATACAGATTCAGCCTTTTATGGACAACATTCACACAACTTTTTCTAGGATTATTGCCTGACATAGCAGAAATTCCACCATTTATTCTCAAGAAAGTCTCAAGAGAGAAGCATCTCTTTCCACCCTCCTGTAGGGACTCTTGGTCTAGGCTTGTGCTTTTCGGAGGAGTCTTTGATCTGCAGGTTTTAGAGGCTTGTCTCTCGGAGGAACATGGTGCCGATGTTGTAGGAAACCTTTTTTATTCTGGATGAAGAAAGAGAAGGCTTTGGCTGCTTTGGACCAGTCCTTACCTCCAGGAAATAGCAGATCCCGGGGATTTCTTTTGGAAAGTTGTCTGGAAGTTCTTCACGGGACCGAGGAATGAATGTGAAACTTTCTTCTCGTTTTAATAATCTACGAAGAAAATGTAGATGGTGTGAATCAAAATAGCAGGGGAAATGTGAATAAATGAAGAGATATCCTAAAGTTTCAGGAACCTGATCCAGAACTATGCCCATACTATGATCACCTCTATTTCTTTGAAAGAGATGTGACTACAATAGGACTCCAAATAATAGGAAAGATTTTAACTCAGAAAAAAATTGTTCCATGTAATAGCTGTAGAAAATAACAGCTGCAACAACAAAAGCCGCTTATGGTGCTACTTAAAAATATTTGTTTGACTGTGTTTTGCTTCTAAACAATATTCCTTGAAAAATATTTGTTTCAATTTGATTTCCCCCCAAAAAATAGCAGTAAGAAAAATGCATAAGGCAAGACTTCACATCAAAGATGCAGGAATTTTTCTGCTTTGAAAACCTTTCCAAATTCTATAGTACTACTTTTATGCTTTGTAGATTCTCAATAAATTTTAGGGTGTATCCTCCTTGTCCAACACATAAACAAAGTATTGAAATCTGTAGAACATTTCAGGATGCCAAGGGTTTCTGCTGATTACTGATTTCTAGAATACAATACATATTTTCTAAACTCACTAACATTTATTAGTTAAAAACCTGATTCTTTCCTTTCAGTCACACTTAGATACTCTTTTTCATAACAAGCTGAAAGAGATTTAGTTTTTACACTTGTCAAGTTTCATGAAAGGTTCAATTTGATACTCATATCTGAAAATTTGGCTAAACCATTCAATTCAACTCAACTCAGCTCAGTTCAGCTCAGTTCAATTCAATAACTCCTTATGTACTATTTACTGCCCAAGAAAAGTATGTAGATGTAGGAAATAAAACAACAGCAAAAAACACCTCTATACACACTCGAAAAGCAGAGTAATATAAAAGTAATTTGGAATGGAATAGAGGACATCAGAAAACTAGATAAAAAGATAAATTTTGAAAAAGCTACATAAGCCCAGAAGAGAAAAGATGTTTCCAGTAGAAGGACCACATAGACTTCGTGATTGAGAGGCTTTTTAAGAAGTGCATTTATCATATGATTTCTGTTACATGAGAAACCCTAAAAAAAAGTAAAATAAAAGATAGATGATGGGAAATAGGCAGACAGCTCTTTTGCAGAAGGGAAAAAGACAAAGAAATGGAGTGAGGAAGGAAGGGAGGGGAGAGATACAGGAAAAAGAATCAATATGTGTTATGTACATGTACCAACTCCACATGAGGAATGTAATCATTATGTACTGAAAATATGTACTAATAAAAAATAAAAATTGTTACAGCAGTGAAAGTAAGCAGTGAATGTGAAAGATTGCTCTACATGGGGCCAAGTGCTGAGGGCTCAGTCATCCTGTGGGAGAGAGCCATTTGCTGTGAGCTAACATGGAGAAGGCCAACTGAACTCAGAACTCAGAACTTCTGGGTCCATTTAATGACTCCCAGCTGAGTTCAAGCCTGAAGGTGTGCTGACTGCTGCAGGCTGAATGCATCTGGTCTCAAGCTCGATGAAATTATCCACTACCCTGCCATAAAGCTACTACTGGCTTCCTTGGATAAATTAACACAGATCTGGACTCTATCTCCATGTCTGCCAATGATAACAAAGACAAACCTGGAAGTGGATTTTTGTATTTTTCTTCTTTCCTTCTATCTCTCCCTCTCTCTTTCTCTTTTTGTTTCTTTTTTGTTGTTTGGTTGGTATGGGTTTTTTTTTTTTCTCCTTCCTTGTTTGATCTTATTTTTATATGAGTATAAACATGGTTTCTAGCTTCTTGGTTGTTGTTCTGTTCTGTTCTTTCTTTTATTTCTCCCTTCTCTCTTTCCCTCTTGTCTTCTGTTTTCTGCACCAGTTTCCCAAAGTTTGCATGATTCCCCTTTGTCCTGCAGCCTTGCCTCTAATCTCTTCTTCATATACTTCTCTATTTTTTCCCTAACGTCTTTTCAATTTTCTCCCTCAAGGGTAAAAATAACATATTAAGGACTTATTTACTACGTATAGTTTTTTGGTGTATTTTAGATTTTCTTATATAACTACAAAGTTCATTCAGTTAAAGGTGGCAAATTAATGTTTGTCATTTTTAAGTTGTGTTTTGCTATTGTTATTGCTAATTGTACCACTTTAGTCAAAGTGACATGATTGTTTTAACCAGCTGTTCTTCTTGGTATTTCAAAATTGAGATTGCCTGAGTCCTAGGAAATACTTTGGGCCAGTGCCAAAAAACCTACACCAAATTGTCAGCAACTTTTCTTTCTCAATTAATTAAAGAGGTAGGATTTTGCAACAGACTTAAAAACCAAAAGCTAGCTATACCTGAAAGGCACTTCTGAGAAACATTCATTTCTTAAGGGTTCTAAATACTAGCCATAAAGCAACACACCATAAACAATTTACAAGCAACAACCCAAGAATTAAACTAAAAAAGAAAAAAAAGGAAAGAAATAAGAGAATGATTAAATAAGTTGCAACTTCAGACATCCAGTTCACCAAAGGTAAACTAGGGAGCAATGAAATGGGACAATGTGAAGACCAGCACTTGGTCTTTCTGAAGTGGTAACAGCAAAGCAAATGAATGAGGTTCTAGAAAGTATCAAATCAGAAAAAAAAAATTCTCAGATAACTAGAGTGGTGGACACAAAGAAAACCACGTTTAGTAACTCTACAACAGATAAAGTCCAAAAAAATGGAACAAGAAAATGATGTAAGCCATGAATTCTCATCAAAGGAAAAGAAATGGAATCCATAAAACAGATTCAAGCAGATATCCAGGAGAACACAAATTCTATTGAAAGTATCCAGAGCAGAATGAGCCAATGAGAGGACATAATCTCAGATGCAAAAGACAGGCTTTTGGTTAGCAATCATGAAAACAAAGATTCCCTAAAATAGCAAGAGATCACAAGAAATCAATCTAGTAGCAGTTAGATGGTGCAAAGAAGAATAGTATAAGATCAACAGGAGTTGATGAAAAAGCAGGAAATAGAGTAAATAATATAAAAGACAATATTCACAGACATCAGATATCATGGCAGAAAACTTCTCTGACAAGGAAAAAGAATTTGACATGCAGATAAGTAAGTCATATAGAGCTTTAATTAGCCACAATTTAAAAAATCCGTAGCCAGGCATATCATAATCAAGATTCTAGAAATGTGACCCAAGAATAGAATCCTACACTCTGTTAGGAAAAAGAAAAAAATCACCTATCAAGAAAATCACCTATCACTCATCAGAATCATAGTTGCCTTCTCAACACAAAACCTCAAGTCAAGGAGAGCTTGAACTGAAGCATTTCAAGCCCTAAATGAAAACCACCTCCAACCAAGATTGATGTATTGTGAAAAACTATCTTTCAAAATTAATGGAGAAATAAGATACTTTCATGACAAAGAGCACCTGAGGAAATTCATGAATACCAAGCCAGCTCTCAAAAATGTTGTGAAGAACATTCTAGGAAAAGTTAACAAGGACAACTCCATGAACCCCAACACAAGGAATCCACCAGGCAATGCAAACAATTAAACTGGGGGGGGATAGGGTAGCCAAAAACAGGAAAATAACATAACAAGGATGCCAATATATATCAGTTATAATCATCAATATTAATATTCTCAATTCACCAATCCAAACACATATGCGCGCGCGCACACACACACACACACACACACACACACACACACAATGATGGAATGGATCAAGAAGCAAGATCTAACAATATGCTGCACAAAAGAAACACACTTAATTTAAAAAATAAGTCATAGACTGAAATTCAAAGGATGGAAAACATACTCCATGTCGCAGGAACCCCATAAAAAGCAGAGATCAGCTATTCTTTTTGCAGACAAAGTGAATTTCAAGCCAATACTGATTAAAAGGGATAAAGAAGGTCACCATATCCTTGTATAGGGAACAATCCAAGAGGAATATATATAAAGTCATAAATATACATACACCAAATACCAGTGCACCCAACTACATAAAACAAATATTAATGGACTTGAAAAATCACATAAGCACTGATGCAAATGTATTGCATTGCGCAATCACAGATACACAGATCAACTAGACAAAAAATTAATAATCAAATATTAAAACTGAGCCAAATTTTTTCAACAAATGGACTTAGTAAATGTCTATAATATGGACACAGATTGTTCCATTCTACAACATCAGAATACACATTCTTCTCAGCTGCATGTACAATTGTTCTCCAAAACAGACCACATACTAGCTCCTAGGATATGTTTAAGGAAATACAAAGGAATTGAAATTATTCCATGCATATTATCAGACCATAATGCAATGGGACTGGAAATCAATGGCAAAAGAAAACATATGAACTTCATAAACACATGGAAATTAAATAGCACCATGCTGAACAACCAGTAGGTACAGATAAAAACTAAAAGAAAAAATAGTTTCTATAATTAAATGATAATGACAATACAATACATTGGAACTTATGGGGCAATATGAAAGCAGTCCTATGAGGTAAATTTATAGCAGAAAATCCTCATATCTGGATAACAAAGCAAACTCACATAAACAACTTAATGTAGAATCTTAAACTTCTCAAAAAGGAAGAGCAGGCCAAGCCCAATGCTCATATAAGGGAGGAAATTATAAAATCAGAGCTGAAATTACTTCATTGGAGACTAAGAAAAAGCCAGACTTACAAAAAATAAGGAAAGAAAGTGAGTCATACAGAGCTTGCAATGAGGAATGAAAAAGGTGAAATCAGAGTGGATCCTACAGAATTTGAGAACATCATCTATACCTACTTTGAGAACTAGTGTTCCAATATGCTGGAAAATGCAGAACAAATGGACAGATTGTTAGATACGTATAAACTGCAAAAGCTGGATCAAAAAGATTAAAATAAAACCCTAAATAAATCAGTATAAATCAATGTAATAAAAAGTACCAACAAAGAAAATTACAGGCCCTTATGGTTTTACTGTTGAATTCTACAAGAAATTTAGAGACAATCTAACATCACTACTTTT